GGCATGGGCCTAAGGGGCGCCCTTGGGCCTAATTGGTTAGCTTAAAGCGGAATTCTTGCCGATTTTCACTTTCTAAAGGTAGCGCAGCCTCCGCAATCTCCTTCCGGATCGTCTGACACATTTGAAAGGTCATAGCCTTATTTTATCGCGGAAAGTGCCTTTAATGTAGCGATTTATAATGTAGCATCCTTGTAATAACTCGTAACTGTTACGGCATTCATTTCACTGTGTTCAGATTCGCAAAACACCGCGCATCCGGGAAATTCTTGGCAAATATCCAATGGACGAACGGTTGTCTACAAGCAGGACTCTTTGCTCCAGGTGCCCGACGATCCACAAGTGAAGAAACGTCAGCGAGATTTGACTGAAAGCCGCAGAAAGGTGGAGTATAGACCGCCTGCACTGCACTACACTGACAGCGCCACTCCTGCATGGGTTCGTTGTTGTGTTGTCGTCACACCACGCATGTTCTCTCTCGCACACTCCTTTCCTGCTTTTAACAAAAAACATTATCTGACACAGTTACCTTATGCTTCTGCTTCGCTATCCGCACTCCGCTAACGTAGGGGTCGGATTCGCTAAAGAATTCCGCTTTTTAGTGCTTTTTTAGGCCTTCTCATGAAGATAGTAGTGACCCTCAATGTGGTCGATGAAGGCAAGGTATAGTCTGAAACGGGTTTTGTCATGTGCGAGGCAAATGGCCCGCCCAATCTTCGTGGACTCGACCAGAGAAAATGGCTCGCTACTGCAACAACAGAACCCGTTCTCCCCACAGACAGCAAAACCAGAATCCACCTAGGGGAGTGTACAGTTTGTTTCTGGAGCTCTTCCGGACATCTTTCAAGGGTTCACAGCTGTAGTGGCGAGCCACTCTCCCTTCAAATATGCATTGGAACTGGCGTGTAGGGTTGTACTTTCCGAGTGCCGTCTACACACTACGCCCACGCTATTCTCAAAGTGCAGCACTTGCCTCGATGCCAAAGTTCGGCAGCGAAGTGCGCGTCAGCACTGGATAACATTTAGAAGCGAGAAAGCGCAGACAAGCAGCGCGTTTAACTACGGCTGGGCGTGTGGCTGGCGTGCGGCTTGCTGGCGGAGTATAAAGACGGTACCCGGGGATCACTACCTTCCAGCCCGTTCTCGTGCTCTCTTGACCGGAGTAAGTGGTACGTCACAGCAACAACTGTGGAACCGTTCTCCCCACACATGGCAAGGACCGGTATCCACTTAGGGGAGTGACAGCTTGTTTTTGAAGCTTTTTTCTGACACTACTCAAGCCTTACTGTACCACCACTGATTAAATTTCAATCGAAATTTCTTCCAAGCGGTAGTTCGACCCCGAACACGAAAACCCTATTCGCTCCTGGCAAAAACGCTTGGCTAAGCCCTTGCACTAAAACACCTCGAAATACCGAATTTTCCAAGACCTATCCCACACAGTGTTAAGGGAAATAGTTATCCCATTAGCCTGTTGCGAAAACGCCATGTACACTCGATATCCCGGAGATGAGGAGGGCGTGGCCGCGTAGTTCATTTGAGAATGGCACAAGATGCGTCTTCCTGGACATATTACCGTTTGCAGCAGCTATCGTCCTGTCTTGTGAGGTCAGGGCAGCCGCCTCATTTTAGTTCATCGAGAATGGCACAAGATGCGCTCTCTTGAACATATTTCCATCGGCAGTACGAAGCCACGCCTTCCCCGTCTCCTAGATGTGGAGTGTACGTCCGCCACGAGCGCCACAGCTAAAGCTGGCTCTTATCATTAGCGCCAGCTCAAGCCGAGGTGATAATCACGTTCCGTGTAAGGCTACCCTCTTGGGCAAAGTTTTGATCAATCTGCTTCTAGAATGGATTTCGATAGGAACCTGGATTGAATTACAAAAAAAGACTTACCTTCCTCAAAGTTTGAGGAGTTCCATGAAGTATCTTTTTCTGCGTTTTTTGTTTTGATGTTTCTAACTGATTTTCTCCACTAATTGTTGGCTTCAAGAGCATGGTAATCATATGATAGCAGCATATTTGAAAGAATTCCTTACAAGCGACACAAACAAACTAAGGTTCAGCAGCTACAAGCTTCGCAACTACACCATTTCCTCTATTCGCTCAATTTCTGATTTTACACTTCAATTTGCTTGTAGCACTGCACCTTGCATGCTCATTTATTTTATCTCACAGGACCGAGACCTCTGTCGCGGATGAAGACCCTACAAAACAGAAACCTTTGTGGAAGCCGTCAGCCTACAGAAGTTCCTCTGCGCAGCGTGGCACCTAAGGCGGATCTGCTCCCCAAATCACGGTCTTCCTGGCGGTGCGCTACGGACGATCACTGGCCGCAGCCAGCACTGACTCACACCATTTTCGCGTAGTAGCTATGTAGTTATACTCTAGTTCGCTGCGGACGGTTGGGCGTGTCAGGCAGTATGAGTGTGTCACGCCGTCAAAGCCGTTCTCTGCCTTCTTGTTGAAGCGCGCATGCGACAAAAAGTGGTAGAAAACGAGTAATACGAACGATATGATACAGTCATATCACTTGCTCGCTTAACAACTGGTGGAGAACGGGTTTGGCACCGCGCCAAACTCATCCCGCCTGACACGCCCAACCGTCCGCAGCGAACTACACTGCAATTTCGTGATATCCTACACCTAAGAATGGAAAAGCCAAAGCTGGTAACTTCATTTCACCCCTCAAGGCTTTGTCGACAGTGAAGCTGGTCAGCTTTCAGCAGGGAGAGATGGTGGAAAACCGGCCGCGTAAATGGGCACCGTTTTTTTAGCAGGCCGTTTTTTGACGCATAAAGTGACATATCCTCATCCTAAAGCAGAGTTTCTCACTGAAGACGGACAAGCCGCCAGTGTGGAACTCCACCTTGGTGAACTGGTATATTACGGCCTACAAGTTAGACATGGCACGGACGAGCTGGGGGAAGGGGGGGGGGGGGGGGGTTCACCTTCTGCGAGCTGTCCTGTTCACGAGAAACTTCTGTACCACAGTAAGTTCATTAGGTTAATTCACCGAAGAAAATGGTACATTTTGAACTCTTACAACTAAATGATTTTCGGTTTGCACCCTTTGAGTTGTTCAGTTCGTTTTCAGTTTGTTCAGTTTATTTATACTTTTTTGGATACTATGGAAGGATTTTTCATGAAAATGTCTTTATCACATATCGATAATTGCTATTCACAGGTCGTGCGTCTGCTAATTGTGCTCGTCGCCTCATTCGCTATTCTAACACTACCTCATCATGCCAGACTGCTTCATACGGTAATCCTACTATATATAATCCGCTAAGTATGTCTGTAAGTGTGTGTGTGTGTGTGTGTGTGTGCGTGTGTGCGTCGTCTGTCTGTCACGAAATTCATAGCGAGCGTCGCAGAAAAGATAGGACGACAGTTCCAAGAAGTGATATACATGGCAGGACGGGAACACTTTTGGTGGGTGATAGAATGTGATAGCACCTGATAAGATTCGATAAGGGGCCTTAGAAGGGGAGGGTGACCGAGCCCATAGTGCGGGACACAGTAACAGTGGGACATTGGTTCCAAGGATATAGGACGTGAGACAGGAACATTATTGATGGGTGACAGGGAATGATAGCAGCTGATAGGATTTGATAAGGGGAGTTAGAATGGTAAGGTCACCATACTCATAACGCGGAACACAGCATCAGCTAGGCATTAATTTCAGAAAATGATATAGAGTTGGAGATGGGGACACGGCACGTGAGGTGATAACAGCTGATAGGGGCTGATAAGGATAAGGTTCAGTCAAATTGCTGGAGCCTTTACACTACCAAATTACAGAGTTTTAGTGATAGGGACATTGATGACGGGCGACAGGATCTTATCAATTGATAAGAAAGGATAAGGGGCCATTATCATTACCTCTCTTATCACTATACCCCAAGTATCAAAGGCTCAGTGTGCATACTTTTCCTTTAGCCATCACTTCCCTGATAGCCCTAGAAAATGAACTCATCTATCCTACTATCCTACTATATATAATCCGCTAAGTATGTCTGTAAGTGTGTGTGTGTGTGTGTGTGTGTGTGTGCGTCTGTCTGTCTGTCACGAAATTCATAGCGAGCGTCGCAGAAAAGATAGGACGACAGTTCCAAGAAGTGATATACATGGCAGGACGGGAACACTTTTGGTGGGTGATAGAATGTGATAGCACCTGATAAGATTCGATAAGGGGCCTTAGAAGGGGAGGGTGACCGAGCCCATAGTGCGGGACACAGTAACAGTGGGACATTGGTTCCAAGGTATGATATAGGACGTGGGACAGGAACATTATTGATGGGTGACAGGGAATGATAGCAGCTGATAAGATCCGTCAAGAGGCGTCAGAAGGGGAGGGTGACCGAGTCCATAGTGCGGGACACAGTAACAGTGGGACATTGGTTCCAAGGTATGATATAGGACGTGAGACAGGAACATTATTGATGGGTGACAGGGAATGATAGCAGCTGATAGGATTTGATAAGGGGAGTTAGAATGGTAAGGTCACCATACTCATAACGCGGAACACAGCATCAGCTAGGCATTAATTTCAGAAAATGATATAGAGTTGGAGATGGGGACACGGTGAGGTGATAACAGCTGATAGGGGCTGATAAGGAACGTTGCCAAGTGCTGTTCAGTCAAATTGCTGGAGCCTTTACACTACCAAATTATAGAGTTTCAGTGATAGGGACATTGATGACGGGTGACAGGATCTTATCAATTGATAAGAAAGGATAAGGGGCCATTATCATTACCTCTCTTATCACTATACCCCAAGTATCAAAG